GGCACCCGAAAGCAGGATAAATCTGCGGCCCCAAGAATCGACGAGATACCACGGAGGGATTGTGCTGGCCAGGTAGCTAAGACCGTTGATGCCGGTCATGAGAATGGCCTCGCGACCAACCCAGCCAGCCTGTTCAAAGACCAATGGCGCATAGTAGGAAATGACGTTGATGCCGTTCAGTTGGGCGAGGGATTGCGCGGACATGGCGATGAAGACACGCTTGTAATATCTCTTAAACATGTCGGCGTACGACCGCTCGCCCTCTTGGCGCTGAAGGAGGACGTTCATCTTGATCTCACGGTATTCATCTCTAGCCTTGGGGTTGTGGATATCGCCCTTGCCGTAGAGGTTGGCAATGACAACAATACCCTCCTCATCGTGATCATTGTCGAGCAGCCATCTGTGTCGCGTAAGCTTGATGACGGTCAAAAAAGGGAAAAGGTAGCTACCTCGGCGATTCACAAATCAGTAGACTGCCTAAGGCCAGCAGCGACCCCATGACACATTGCATCAGGAGGGGGATGCGCCAAGCCCAGTCGTTCTTGATGTAGCTGCAAAAGTAATCCACCCAGACACTGGCCGCGTAGCCAGAGATGTTGCCCGTAAATTCGACGCAAGCCAGCTTTCCGCGGTTGTGAGGGGGAGAGATTTCAGACTGGTATACCGGGACAATGGTGGATAGAGCACCAACTCCGAGACCAGCGATAATTCTTCCCAGCAGCATCATGGGCATGCCGGTAGCAAAGCTTTGAAGGGCACCGCCGACAACGAAGATGAGGGAGCCATAGAGAATGGTTCGCCGACGGCCCAAGATGTCTCCAATCTTTCCGACGCTGAGAGATGCTATCAGAGCCCCTATCTCTAGGATGGCTACCATTGTACCAATCTCGGCGCGGGTAGGCTGGTTGAAATAGTCCTTGAAGTAGGAACCCCTATGTCGCACAGTCCGTCAGCCCAGAGTCGGTCATCGAAGGGGTTCGTCGTACGTGATGATTCCAGACATGACGCCTTGGTCATAGCCGAACAAGAAGACTCCTAATGATACGAATACACTGGTGAAATAGCTGATGTTGACGTTAGCGTGTGCCGTTTCAATGGCGGCGGACGAGATGGACGAACATGAGCTTCTTGCCGTGCAACCCGTGGATACGGGATGGGCCATCGTTGGGAGCCATGATGGCAGCGAGGATCCTGTTGCCGATGTCAGTACGGCTAAAGAAGCGTCGGCGGCTGGAGAGGGCACCTTTCTCCGCGCGAGACAGGCTTCCGTGCTGGAGTTGGTACGTGGATGTCCTCCTTTTTGATACGCCCAGCCTTTTCGTTGTTGGCGCCAGACGAGTCGCCGTCGGCGTAGTGTACGCGACGCGGATGCCGCTTGTGAGGGCGGGACTCAGCACCGAAGTCTTGCGATTGGCGAAGTCGAGCCTGCAAGGGATCTTCTTCGTCGGCAAGCTGGTCGACGAGATCGCCCGTCTCGCTCCAAAGCGAGTCTAATTCCGAGTGGTCGGAGTCTGATGAGGAATGGCGGGGCCCAGTCTTCTCGTCGTGGGATGAGGTGGTCGACCGGAGGGCGTGGAGGGGGATATTGGCAGGCCGGCGGCTCGACGACGGGGGTGAAATCTTGACGGAGGTTGGGCTGAGTTCGAGCAGCCCTCTCCACGATGTCGGGTGAGTAGTAGTCTAGAAGACTAAGGTAGGAGAGGAGGCCCGCGACGTCAGCGGGCACAGGGTCCGAGGGCGGTGGCTGTAGGATGGTTTGGGGACGCCAGGCCTGAGTGGATCACGGGCATTGAAAGAGAACAGGACGCAGCGTAGCGCTTCGAGTGGTATGCCTGTATGGATGGGCGTGCCTTGGATTGGGAGACGAACGACTGGAGGCGGACACTGCTGCGGGCGACGTCTTGGGGCAGAAACCGGGGGCGCCCAAGCGCACCACAGCTGCTGCCGGGCCACCCAGCGAAGCGCACACCGCTCGGACGGGGACGAGATGAAGTGATATTACGTCGTTAGTTATAGGCTTTGGATAATTCAGACGGCGCTGCATCTTGTTCTTCAACTCTTCCAACAAGTGCGTTGCTGTCCACGTCCTCAGCTCCACCTCCAGTTCGTCCACCTTGCCCACCACCTCTCCCTCATCTATCTGGCGGAGTCGCCGCGCCGCCGCTGCCACGGGCGCAATGCCGTGTCAGATAGCACCGCCTCAGGAGCACCACGACATATTGCACTGTACCTCGCACTCTAGCCCTTGCCCTCCAGCCAAACACCGTCCAGAAAATCGACAGAAAAGAAAATCATGCCACGCGCAGCGCTTCCAACCAAGAATAACTCTAGCGGCGGGACGCCATTGCCCTCCGAATCCTCCATCATCTGCCCGTCGGTCGCCTCTAGTATGCTCCGCTCCCGGCAAGGGTCTCTGGATCGGTTGTCACCAGGCGTTGGATCCTCGTTGCACTCTGGTCATGTGGGCCTGGAGAAGCTGCGCTCGTGGACCTTTTCCCCAGGTCATGCTAGCGCTTTGTGGGGAAGCAGGCACACGAGGCCCGGGGCGCCTTAGCAAAATTGGCCCACGATGACCACCCTCTTCAGTCAGCGCCGAGACGGCAACATGGAAGAAAAACGCAGGTCAAGTCGGATGGTCTATGGACTGTGGTGGCTGCATGTCAGGTCCGCCGAGGCGGTGGAGCTGGCCGCGGGCGGAGCGGAACAAGCGGCGCCTCCATCTGAACAGAAGCGCGCGCTGCTTGCTGGCTGGCCGTAGACCGCTACTTGCCCGCCACCTTTCGTCATCGACGTCCCGTCTGTATTCCCACCTTATCGGCATGCTCCGACCATGGTATGATATGCGAGATGGGAGCCGCATCAGAGGGTCTGGCCGGTCGACCACGTCGTAAAGATGGCGGCCATCACGCCGCGCTCCTTCGCGCTGCCAGTCATGGAGCATTCATGCGTCGGCGGGTGTTTGTCTTGGAGACCGTATCCCCCCTGGTAGCTCGACTCGCGGGTGTGTCACGTCTGAAGAAAATTGACCCCAGGAACGATCAGAGCATCATGCTTGCTCCAGCGTCCGGACATGGGGGACGGCTTGCCCGCTTGAGCCTAGCTCGTCGATGTCGCCGCCAAAACTGCCGCTGGGCATTCGTCGATCCATCCCTGCAGCCGGCAGATTTGGTCGTCTCGGTTTCGAGCGAGAGTGCAAACGGGCGTTCATTTCTCGTTGATGCATTCCTTGCTCCTCGACTTTTGGGAAATTCGAGGCTGAAGACCAAAAAGGCTTGTCTCGCCTCATCCAGCCTGTCAAGCCTCGCGCTATTCCGAGCATGGATTCGAGTGGTGACATGTGTCAACCCGTCGAAACCCTAAACCAAAACCTGCTCGGGAGATCCGACAATGACCCGGTGTTGATATGGTTGCTGCATGTGAGAGAGCCGTTGAAGTAGCGATGCGCAATGCTGGAAGCCTACGCGTCGAGCAGAGCTCTGGATGCGAGGAGACTTCAAGTGCCATGACGTGTGTATGGGGCTTTAGACGTGCCACGACTTTTTGCAATCAGAAGATCTCCGAGGGAACGGTCGTTGCCACTATCTGCATCATCAACAAGTAGAGCGTCAGGGGGCGGTAGAGCCTCAGGTTCTCTCGATGACGCATGCGGTCTTTGGACACAAAAGATGCATGCTATAGAGGCTGAAATTTTGTTCCTTCAAAACCGGCTTTCTAAACATGTGGGAAGTGTTTACTGCAGAGAAAACACGCCTTTCTCCTGTGACCGTTGCAACCATCTCAGACCAAACACCATATATTTGGTTATTAGCCGGCATCATCGTTTCAATGTCGCAACATACGATATGGCCAAGAAAAGTCAAGAAACTTCGTGATTTCTCGCGATTGCAATTCAACTCTCGGTTACTCTTCCCCTTTCCCAACATATCCATATGCTGTGTTGTATCCAAATTCATCTCCTTTGAAAATATACATGGTGTTGAATCTCCGGCAGAGCTTTGGTAAGAGCGTGGTTAAGCAAAATTGGGTTTCCGCGACATGGCAATGACTTCTCCATGCGCGCTCGAATCTGCAAGTTGATGGCCGGCTCCCAAAAGAGGAACCATGTCGCGAAGCGCTCACCACGAGACTACGCACAGAACAGAGCGGCTGTGGAGGCTCCCAAGCTTTGGTCTTCAGAGGCTCACGGTTTGAGAGCACTCATAGCCCTCACAAGTATCAGACCAGGACGCATTCAAGTACTTCAACATTTCAGACAACCGACATATCTCCCACAAATGGTGGAAAGGGTTCAAGGGGAGACAGCCAAGTTTAGGCAAAGCCCGACCAAACCAGAGAAGGCAGGGCTAGCAACCGACCTCGCAGAGCAGCAACGCAGCGCTTGCATCTCTTGATCTATGGAGTGCGGGAGTACTCATCGCGTCTTTAGGCCGTCGTGCAGCCGTTGTTGTTGTGCAGACCAGCCACTCTCGAAATGCAGCGTGGTATCAAGATCGTAGCACACACAAGGAGCGTTCTTCGGTCATCAAAAAAACAGACAAAAAGCCCCGAAGTTCCAAAGCTGATCCGGCGATAGCGCTCTCAAGTTCCCTTTGCAAGAAGGAAAAAGGGGCGTCCACACATGCAAAGACTTGTGCATGCACAGGGACATTTATCACCTTATAGACAATTGGCTTCTTGGAGTCCATCTCGACCTTCATCTGCGCTCTGGCGATTTTTTTTTTTTTTTTTTTTTTGGACGAGAACCCCCCAACGTCAAGCTCTCCAGAGTCCTGACTGGCTGGACGAGCAATCGCAACTTCCTCGATTCGCTGCTGCTATGCGACCCACGTGGGGGAACGCTAGGACGCTAGCGCGCGGCCCGTGCCCCAATCCGCCGCACAAATTCCGAGGTTACCAAAATCCATCTTCTCGAGCAACCAAAAAATGCTGTACATATTTTTTGAATTTCTGTTTCCTTTCAACAACCAGCTAGAGCAGCATTTAGCAGGTGATCACCAACATCTTCCGTGGCGCAATTGGCTAGCGCGTCTGACTGTTAAGATTGGATTACAAGTCCATCTCGCAATCAGGAGGTTGACAGTTCAAGCCTGTCCGGGAGAGTTCTCTTTTGCAATTTTTAGTGGAGCTTTTGCCCCGTGGGCCGGGAACAAGCGAGGTGGGTGGTGGCCTTTTTGTTTTGCTGGACAAACAAAGATTTGACAAAGGACTTGTGGAAAGGGGGAAAGTGTTGGGGCAAAGAAAGGGGGCAGGCAGGTTGGATTTTCCTTTGGGAAGTTGTTGGTGTGCAACTCTTCACGCTGGACGCCAAGTCCCCTCTGCTTTTGAGTGTTGAAAAGCAAACTTGAGACTTTGGAAGCAAAGCCGATAATCACTTTCGCCATCAGAAAAAAGGGGGTGGTAAGGCAGCAGCTCTCCTCATAGGTGTGCTGGTCTTCCCGATTCGCACTCTGTTAGCCTTCGCATTTTCAGACATCCTCTGCTCTCTCTTCGACCACAGAAAAATCCTCAGCAAACGATCTTGGGACTGAGGCCTTGACACGGAAAGCAGTGTGTCCAGTCCAGTCGCAGCCAAAAAGATGGCAGCTCGCACAGTCACTATATGATTTCAAAAGACAGTCGCACTGTGAAAGACCTCTCATTCACATCTTGAGACACTTTGTCGGCTCTCCGTCTGTGCCATTCAACAACGTGGGACAGGTGCCAGCCAGGTGGAGTACCTAATGGCTCAGCGAGACAGCGACCAACCAAGGCGGAGGTGTTGTCACTTGGGTCGGAGCACTGTTCAACGAGATGCCCCAAGCTCCTCGAAAAAAAAAAGGGTCCGGTCCAGCTTGGGGAGCTGTTCAGAGTGTTCACCAAACATGTAAACAAACAAATGATGAGGCAAGCGAGACAAGCCAAGTTTCGAATAGTGCTGCTGCTGCCGTCTATAAAACTGCCAATGGAAGGAGAATAATGCATCCGACCGTCGTCGCAGTATGCAACCAAGTCGGATATTACAAAAAGTGTGTGTGTTGTAGTGGTGGTCTCGGGGAGAGAAACCAGATGATGCATGCCAAACAAGCAAGCGTTTTGGAGCGCTCACAACTCATCAGCCACAACGGGTATTAGCCCGAGACAAGTGTAAGTTTATCCCCATCACCATGATGTATCTTCGCGCCAGACCTAAACCCCGACCCGGCCTGACCATATACCCGACCGTTGAGGAGCCCCTAAAAAACGCCGTTCATCTAGTGTTTAGCCGTGACCTTGTCGCCAGTGACCTTCTCGACCCACTCTTTGGCACTGCAGTCGAACGTTAGCCAAGCTGTGCCTCTTAGGTAAAACTGGGGGAACTTACACATCGCCCAAAGCAACCATGCAAACCGTCTGCCAAACGCCCAAACCGATCCTAGGAGTAACGCCCCTGTACAAGCCCTTGAGGCCGTTCTTCGAGTAAATGTACTTGGCCGCGGTGCCGACCGTCATCTTCTTGGGGCGGTTGGGGTCCTCGACCTTGCTCTGCATCTCGACGCGGATGACCTCAATGGGCTGGTTCCAAGCCGACAGGCCACCGCCGAGAGTCGAGGCAATAATCTTCTCGAGCACGCTGAGCTTCTCGCCGTGCTCCTTGTGGGTGACCTTGCGAATACCGCTCTCGGCAATGCGCGACAGACCGAAGCGGGATCCCCAGTTGGTGACCTGGCGGACAGCGACGGCGTTGACGCCCTTGTTGATGCCGCGGATACCCTCCCGGCGGTAAATGTCCATAAATGTCTCCATGGTGCCAGGGGGCTTCATGCCGGCCGCGGCGACCTTGTGCTTTGTGATTTCGACCGTCTTCATGCAGGTGCAGAAGCCCATGGTGGCATAGGCCTGAGCGAGACCGCCAACCATGCCACCGCTGATGCCGGCGAGGAAGGGGGCAGCGCCCATGGTGCGCGCGCGGAATTCGGCCTCGGAGGCCACGAACAGCAGGACGGCGCCCTTGGTGGAGGCTTCAATCCAGGCCCAGGGAATAAGACCCTGGTAGACTGTTGTTGAGGTTAGCAAGACCCCGTCACACTCTGCCAGCATACCCTGTACTTACAACCAAGGACACCACCACGAGCCCAGATCCTGCCAATGGCTCCACCAAAGCCGTCCGCTCGGTTAGCAGCCATGGTCGTCTTGACCACTTCCAGTGGCTACAAACGTCAGCGGGGATTTGCAGCAAAAGTTCAAAGACGACATACCTGGCCCAGCGTCGACACTTCGAACATGTTCAGACCCGAGCCAAGCAGCAAGTTGCTGAACTTGACCGGCTTCTTTTCGATCTGGGGGGGCGCTTCAACGCCTGCCATGGTGGCTGCGGGAGTGGACATGATCTTGGTGCGTCGCGGTGAGAAGGGGCCTGACCAAGGCAGTAGGGTGCTTCTTCGCAAAAAGATGGAATGCTATGGAGAGGAGAGAGGAAAGGAGACAGGACGTGGGCGCAGCGGAATGTATATGGGCAGGCTGAGTAACGCACGAGCGCCGTGTCGCTACTCGCAGCAATTACGCCGGGGGCCGGTGACGGAAATGGAACCCACCACAGCAGGGTTACGAGGTGTCAGAACAACAAATGTTTGGCAGGTGCACTGACTGCCGTCGGGTGTTGTCGGTATGGTGGTGGATGTCGTTTATCAGCGCAGCGCAGCTCAGCTGGTAAAGGCGGGCGCTTCAGTGTACAGGGTGAGCTGAGGCTAAGGTCGAGAGGTACTGCGGCCGGCCAACCACAAATCGGCATATGGAAGCCGCAGCTGCATGGCACCCTGGATTCGCTGGCCGACCATTTTGGACTTTTCTGATATGAGGTGAGACGGCAGGAATACCGTTGCTCGTTACATTAGCTACATACAGAGGAATTCCCAGTCCAGCGGGCATTCCCGCTCAACAGTCTCGGTGTCCGGGCTACGAGGCGGCGGCTACGGCTCCCCAGCGTCAATCACGGGCGGCAGCTCCTCAACACCACTCCCAGATCAGCCCCAACGCCCCAGAGAAGTGCACGGCCCTAGACCCCGGCCCGAGCTCCCACAACTGAACCTCCGGCTCCGCCAACCAAGGGCCCAACTACGAGCCCCTGGCCTCGCTCTCAATCCCCATTGTCGCCCTCGTTTCTCTCCCAATTCTAAACTATTGCGCTCCCAGACGGACCGCCGCCGACCTTGTGCGACGCCGAGCCACGCCGCGTCCGCTGAAAAACGGAGCAGGCGATTGCGCGACCGACCAGGAAACCGTTGAGCAGCAATCTCGTTTCAAGGCAGAGTCGCCCGCGTCTGCTCCACCGCAACGTCACTTGCGACAACATCATATCATCCAACGTCAACGTACATATTGAACTGCAAATACATTCTGCCTCGCCGTCCAACAAGCCAAATGACCCTCTGTAAAAAGGCGCCAACCCCAATGAACCTGCTTTTATTGCTCCCTATGAACACACAACTTGGGTAACCATTCTATCTTCTTCTTGTTCTATAATGTCCATCTGCCCTCTACAACTTGGCACCAACCAGCTTGGCGTAAGCCTCGGTGCTGAACGACTTGGGCCTCTCAATGGGCGCACCGACGGCACGGTCGATGATGAGCTGAGGAAGGACACCGAGAGCGCGCGAGACACCAAAGAGAACAGTGTAGAAGTTCTGCTCAGTGAGGCCGTAGTACTGGAGGAGGACACCGGAGTGGGCGTCGACGTTGGGGAAGGGGTTCTTGGTCTTGCCGTGCTCGGTGAGGACGCCGGGGGCAATCTTGTAGACCTGCGAGACGAGCTTGAACATGGGGTCGTCGGGCAGGTGCTTGAGGGCAAAGTCGCGCTGCGAGACGTAGCGGGGGTCGGTCTTGCGGAGGACGGCGTGGCCGTAACCGGGGACGACGCGGCCCGAGTTGAGGGTGCTCCAGAGGTACTCCTTGATCTTCTCGTCGCTGAGGTCGTTGCCAATGGCCTGCTTCATCTCAACGAGCCACTTGAGGACCTCCTGGTTGGCCAGACCGTGCAGGGGACCGGCCAGACCGTTGAGACCAGCAGCAAGGGAGAGGTAGGCAGAGCTGAGGGCGCTGCCGACCAGGTGGGTAGTGTGGGCACTGACGTTGCCACCCTCGTGGTCAGAATGGATCGTCAGGTAGAGCCTCATGAGCTCGACAAAGTCCTTGTTGTCAGCGAAACCAAGCTGGTTGGCCAAGTTGAACGAGTAGTCCTTGTCCTTCTGGACAGGGGCGACCTTGCCGTCCTTGTACACGTTGCGGTAGATGCGGGCAGCAATGTTGGGGAGCTTAGCAATGAGGTCCATCGAGTCCTCAAAGGTGTGCTCCCAGTAGGTCGACTTGTGCATGCCCTTGGCGTAGGCCTTGGAGAAGCTCGACTCGTGCTCGAGGGCAGTCACGGCCAGGGAAAACTGAGCCATGGGGTGGAGGTCGTTGGGGCAGCGGTCAATGAGCTCCTCGACGAACTTGGGGAGGTCGGAGCGGGCAGCCCACTCGGCGGAGAGATCCTCGACCTGCTTCTGGGAGGGAACCTCGCCGGTCAGGAGGAGCCAGAAGAGACCTGGGTGCAATTAGCAGCAGCTCCCACTCTTGGACGTGGTGATGCTCACCTTCGGGGAGGGGCTCGCGGCCACCAGGAGCCTTGGGGAGGACTTCCTGGCATTCGGGAATCTGTCTTTTGTTAGAGAAGCTCAGGCCGTCGTGAAAAGACGCCGACTTACGGTCTTGCCGCGGAAGCGGATACCCTCCTCAGAGTCGAGCACGGAACCCTGCACAGTGTCAGCGATGCCAATGAGCAGCGATAGATGTACGAACCTCCCAGACGAGGGACTTGATGCCACGGGCACCACCGTAGACCTGGTCGAGGGTGACCTCGCCGACGACCTTGTTGCCATGCTCCCTTTCAATTGTACGTCAGGATGGAGCTGCGGCACAGACGGTGGGGGTTGGAAGCGTACTTCTTGAGAGTCTTGATCTTCTCAATCTCGCCGGGAATCTTGGCGGCGAAGGTCTCCTTCAGGGACTTTTCTCGTCTGTTAGCAACCATGATTATGGCTGAGAATGGGGGGAAAAGGGAGAGCTTACGCTGGTCTTGCTCGAGTAGAAGCGCAGGCCATTGGAGA